GAACGAGATCCAGTTATTTGCAACAACGTAGATACAACTGGAGATCATTATGTTAAGTGAAATAAGCCAGACACAGAAAGACAAACATTGCATGTTTTTACTTATTTGTGAGTTCTAAAAATCAAAGAAATTTAACTCATTTTATACCCCCCATTCTCCCACTACCCTTCCCATCCTCTGGTAACTCTACTCTCTATTAAAGTTACTCTCTCATAGTTACAAGAGGCTGGGAAGGGTAGCGGGAGGGTGGGGGGTATTTGAGGTGCTTAATGAATGCAAAAAAATAGTTAAAGTAAAAAAGACCTACTATTTGATAGAAAACCAGGGTGATTACAGTCATTAATAATTGAGTTGCACATTTTAAAATAACTAAGAGTATACTAAGAAGTATATGTAAACATCCCAAAGAAATAAAATAAACATATGAGGGGTGGATATTCTATTCTTCATGATTTGAATTTTTACACATTACATGCCTGTATCAACACATCTCATGTAACTCCATAAATAAGCACACCGCACATTGTAACCCACAGAAATTAAAAATTAAAGAAAAATAAATTCCAAAATAAAGAGAGTCTCTCTACTGTAAACCTTACAAAAATAGCGTGAAATCCTTACTCCTGTATTAGAACAGAATAGAAAACCCATAAATAAAGCCACATACCTATGGCCAACAGATCTTTGGCAAAGCTGACAAAGATATACACTGTGGAAAGGACATCCTATTCAATAAATGGTGCTGGGAAAATTAGCTTGCCATAAACAGAATGAAATTGGGCCCCTAATTCTCACTGCATATCAAAATTAACATAAGATGGATAAAAGACAAATGTGAGACCTAAAACCACAAAAATCATAGGAGAAAACCTAGGAAAAATTCTGACATTGGCCTAGGCAAATAATTCATAACTAAGACCTCTAAAACAAATGCAAAATAGCCTGTGACAATTTTAACCTTGCCCAGTTTTTAATGGGGTTATTTGTTTTGTCTTATTGACTTCTTTGAGTTCCTTATAAATTCTGGATATTAGCTCTTTTCTGAATACATAGTTTGCAAATATTTTATCCTATTCTGTAGGTTGTCTGTTTACTCTGTTAATTATTTCCTTGCTGTGCAGAAGCTTTTTAGTTTAATTAAGTCCCACTTGTCTTAAGATGTTTTTGCAAAAATAAGAATCTAGATGTAGATCTCACAGTATTCACAAAAGTTAACTGCAAATTGTTTATAGAACTAAATGTGAAACACAAAACTATAAAATTCTGAGAAGATAATATAGGAGAAAATATAGAAGACTTTGGCAATGGTTTTTCAAATACAACAACAAGTGCACAATCCGTGAAAGAAACAATCAATTATCTGAACTTTGTTTAAACAACAAAAGTTTTACTCTGTAAAAGACACTATCAAGGGAAGGAGAAGTCCATCTAAAAGAGGAATAATAGTTCCAAAAGATACAAGAATATATCTTTATAAGAATAAAACACTGTCATCCAAAATACTCAAAGAACTCTTAAAGTTCGACAATAAAAAACTGGACACCCTTAATAGAAACATGGGCAAAAGATTTGAACAGACACCCCACCCAAGAAGATAAACAGATGTCAAATAAGCATGAAAACTGTTCAACATTACACATAATTAGGGATCTGCAAACGAAGACAACAATGACACACACCTTTACAATAAGAACATCTAAGACATTGATAAAACCAAATGTTGGCAAGGATTTGAAGCAATGGGAACTATTAGTTATTGCTGGTATGAATGCAAAATGTTACAGACGCTCTGGAAGAGAGGTTGGTGGCTTCTCACAAAACTAAAATATGCTTACCACGTGATCCAGCAGTTTTGCTCCTTGATATTTGCCAGATGAGTTGAAAACATATGTCCACACAAAACTTACACATGGACATTTATAGTATCTTTACTGATTATTGCCAAAATTGGAAGCAACCAAGATACTCTTCACTAGATGAATAAACTGTGGTACATCAATGCAAGGGAATATTATTATATTACTATTTGGTGGTAAGAAGAAATGAGCTTTCAAGCCATGAGAAGATATGGAGAAACCGTCTGCGTATTAGTAAGTGAAGGAAACCCATCTGAAAAGGCTACATACTGTGTGATTCCAACTATATAACAATCTCTTACAGTAAAGGTGAAATTATGGCAACTCTAAAGTGAACTATGGTTCAATTCTTACCAAGGACTTGCAGGGAAGGGAGAGAATAGGCAGAGCACAGAGGATTTTTCAGAGAGCAAATCTATTCTGTATGATGCTACGATGGTGGATATATGGCATTATACGTTAGTCAAATTTATAGAATGTACAACACAAAGAGTAAAACCTATGTAAACTTTGAACTTTGGTTGATGATATGTCTTATTGTTGGTTCACTGACTGTAACTAATGAACCCTGCTGATTGGGGTTGTTGATTGTGGGAAAGACTATTTGTAGGTGCTGGGAACGGGTTTGTGGGAACTGTTGCTGGGAGCCTAAAATTGCTATAAAAATAAGTTCTATTAATTTAAAAAACCCCGCTCTAATTCACAACTCTAACCAAGCTGAGGTTGGTGTTAATCTGTGACTGTGGAGGGCTTAATTAATGCTAATACACTCTTGATCATTTGGACTCAGGTGGGAATTCTATGAGATGGGGTATTTCACTGAACCACCAACAGGAAAACTGGGATTCTAATACAAAATCTTTTACTGGTGTATTGATAATGCTCTAACTCACTGAGTCGCCAATTGCTCATTCCTGACAAACAAAGCAAAATTAAATTAGTAGATCTCAGAGATCCTAACTGTCTTTAAATTATCTACCTACCTTTTATTCTTAAAAAGAAGGGTCAAGGCAGGAGCCTCAGCTCAAGAGAAGAAACAAGGAGCAGAGCAAGGACAACTGTCTCTCAAGGATAAAATTATTACGCTAAAGAGAGACAGTGAACTTATTTTATCCAAATAAACTAACTTATACCTATGTGAGTGAGGCAGTAAATTACTGCTTCCCTTTGCCCTGGATAAAGGGTTCACCAGGACCTGGACTCACTCACCTTTTACAGGTTATAAAACCAAACACGTCTGACCTACATTTTACTCAACTGGTGCTAGAATTATTAACTAAATTAATGTTTATTTTGAAAGTCACTGATTAGATTAATCCACAAGTGTTGAATTTTAGTAAATCTTGGTGCCCAAGTTTAACTGAATGTTTTGCTTAAAAGGAAGGCAGCAAGATGCAGGGGTTATGGTTTCCAGCCCCAGCTTGGTCACTTGCATTCTGTGTGCCCTTAGCTAAAGTACTGAATCTCCATAGTCTAACTTTCTCCTCTCTAAACTGGGAATAATTTTACAGGGGGCAAAGATAATTGAGAGAATAAAAAGAGATGTGACGAGTGTGAAAATTCTCTGTAAATTTGTCATAATGTCTGTAAACATAATCGATAAAACATTGTATAACTGGGTCTTAATATTTTCCTAATGAAAGAGCTGGAAATAACTGTACTGGTCAATTTAGAATAAAGGTAATCTTTTCAGAGCATGCCTTTTTACATACACTTTGTCATTAGTGATCTAGGAAAGTTCATAAATTCAGTTGAATTCAGATCTTCATGACCATTGACTATCAGTTCCCATTCAGGTCTGCACATTACAGTCGTTCTGTGCCCTGGGTCCATTCAATGATTTTCCTGTGTTCCATCTTCTATTGAATCCACAACTATTGTTCTATATATAATTTCTCTTCTTTGCTGTGTACGATTAGATTCTATTATTTGTAACAATAACAAACCAAAAACAATAGAAGCAGCTATGTCTGGAGGTGATTGGGAGGTGAAGAAGCCATAGATTGTCAAGCCCTCTGCCATAAATTATGTGAGGTTGGCCCTTTCCTTAATAGCGCTGAACAACTTTCACTTGTGAGGTGATGCAGAGGGCAGAACTCTAATTTTTATTTCTTCTTTTGAGCATCTCTTGTCCTCTTATCCTTATAAACAAATAATGGACTTCTATTTAATGTGAAGCCTGTTGCTTTCTGAACAGAGTCAAGGTGGTGTATCTTCAGAGTAACTAATGTCTGGGGTTGTTTTGTTTTTCTAAAATTGTTCTTGAGCCAGTTCTGGTGCAAGTGGTAATGCACCCCAATGGGCATCAGAAGATCTCTGCTCAAATCCCGGTTTTACCAGTGATGAGCTGTGTGGCACTGACAGGTGTCCTGTTCTCCCAGAGATTCTTCCCCCATTTGAAAAATAAAAAATGACAATCTCTACATTCCAGTCTCTTTTAATGGTGAATATACATTTATATATATCTAATTAAATATTTAATAATAATATAAATATGTATTTTTGTTATGTAAGAACGTATTAACACTCCCTGCTAATTCAGTGTGTCTCTTTGACATGTAAACAATCACCTATTATTACAATAATGTAATAATAACATAAATATTATTATGTAATAACATAAATACATATTTATGTATATCATTTATATACAATTCAATATATATATACATTTATTAGCTAATACTTTGATATATGTGCAGTCATTCAACATGTATGAGTTAAATTCAGTATTTCATGTTTAGGCAGTTGTATTTTAAGTGAACTATACTAAATATTTGAAAGACTTTTGTTATCAAGGGTTAAGTCTTCTATTTTTTGATATAGCATTACAATGTACACTTTTTATACACGACATATAGAATACACTGATTTCCCTCAAAGTCATAAATTCCCAACTGGTCATTAATCTGAGAATATTGAATTTTGAGTATATTGGAACATAGAAGCATTTACTTCAGTGTTTCTCCATCATCACAGCACATTGGAACAACCAGGGACTTTTAATTACCAATACCTGGGCTCCAATCCAATGTAATTAAACCAGAATCTCCTAGACGGGAACTGCAAAGAAGAAGTAGGACAAAAGAACATTTTTTCTCTATCCATGGGCCAAAGTCCACACAGAAAAAAGTATAAATTGGACCTAGGTGATTGCTTACTTTACATGTCAAAGAGACACACACTGAATTAGCAGGGAGTGTTATAAAAGCCTTGGAGTGCAAGCTCTCATCTGTATTAATAAGAAGAGAAGTCTTCAATGGATCCTTTTGTGGTCCTGGTGCTCTGTCTCTCCTTTGTGCTTCTCTTTTCACTCTGGAGACAGAGCTCTGGGAGAAGGAAGCTCCCTCCTGGCCCCACTCCTCTTCCTATTATTGGAAATATGCTACAGATAGATGTTAAGGACATCTGCAAATCTTTCAGCAATGTAAGTATGCTTTATGTTCCTGCAGTCACTTGCAAAGGGTAAGTTATTTGACTGTTATTTTTAGACAAAATATATTCCTGGAAGCACTCTATTTTAATAGATCATTGTAAAGCAAAATACTCCCTCTGAACTTCTTTGATGTTTCTTTTGTCTTTCTAAGTCTGTCATTGTCAGAAATAGTAGAGTGAGTTGATGCATTTTGTGAATACAGAGTCATTGGGGTCATTGTATGATAGAATCATTTAATACAATGTCAAAAGTTTGAAGTGCTGTTTCCCCTCTTTGTTTCAGAGTGTTTTGCTATGATTTTTGACTGAAGGTGGAGGGAAATATGTGTGATTAGAAATTTCATCCAATAAGTCCTCTACTGCAGTAGTCATGTGTTTTATTCAGAGTGGTCATGAAAATCAAACTTCTCTAAAGATAGGTTTGATGGCTGATATGACAGAAATATTTGTGGGTTCAGGACAAGCATACGTGCATGAAAGAAAGAAGTAACCAGTCAGGGCCCAATTGGTGGTTAACAGAATTCTTCTGGATTCTGAACAAAGTCACTGTCTGTGGCCAAGGTTGCTGGAGAACGGAAGAAATTCTTCTTCCAGGAGTTGCTGAATGTCCTGATTCTAACTTTGTGGTACTTCATCTTTCCGTATTGGTAATACCAGCAGTTACAAACTGGATTGGGCATCAGAATTGCCTAGGGTGACACTGATAATACAGATTTCTAGGGTTGATCACAGGACTGCTGAATCAGAATCCTCATGGTAAGAGCATTACAGGTGACCCTGAAGTCCTTAACCGGGTATTGGCCTCAAGGTGGACATGGGGGAGTGATAAATTGTTCAAGCATCAGTTTAAATTAGCAGAGGTTCAAGTTTGGAACTTCTATATATTACCCGTGGGACTCTGAGAATGAATTTGGAATTCTCTGGCCTCAGTTTCTTCATTTTTAAAACAGGGCAAATGAATGTGCTCAATGTGTTGAAGTGAGGATGAACTGTGATTTGTGTACCAATTGCCTGGGTTTTTGCATAGCATATCATAGCTCATCTATAAGTGGCAGCTATGACAATCACCATCACGTTTATGTACAAAATTCAGAAATATTGAATCTATGTGTGGCAAATATAAACATTAAAAAATACAAAGAAAATATCAGTCTGAATCATACATAATATTTGGAGCAAATAGCGACTTATTTTGCTGCTGTTTGCATTTGCTTTCCCAGTTCTCAAAAGTCTATGGTCCTGTGTTCACCGTGTATTTTGGCATGAATCCTGTAGTGGTGTTGCATGGATATGAGGCAGTGAAGGAAGCCCTGATTGATAATGCAGAGGAGTTTTCTGGAAGAGGCATTTTGCCAATATCTGAAAGAATTACTAACGGACTTGGTAGGTGTGCATATACCTGTGTCAGCTTTGGTAACTGGGGTGAGGAAGATGGAAAACAGAGCACTAAAACGCTTCTCAGCAGAGCTTAGCCTATCTGCCTGGCTGCCCAGTGTTGCAGCACTTTCTTCCTTGGCTATGAATTCTCCCAGTTTCTGCACCCCTTTTTTGTTAGGAATCATTTCTAGCAATGGAAAGAGATGGAAGGAGACCCGTCGTTTCTCTCTCACAACCTTGCGGAATTTTGGGATGGGGAAGAGGAGCATTGAGGACCGTGTTCAAGAGGAAGCTCGCTGCCTTGTGGAGGAGTTGAGAAAAACCAATGGTGGGTGACTCTACTCTGCATCACTGACCTTAACAGTTAGCTGTCTTCACTAATGACATCCTTGGAAACATTTCAGGGGTGACCAGATCTTCATTGTGCATGCTGGTTGTCAGCCCTCAGGTGGTGGAGGGAGGTTTGAAGCACAGACAAGGGAGATTTTGTGTACCTGTGCTTTACCTGTATAAATGTGTTGGTTCATAGGGTATAGGAATCAAAGGTCATTTAATCCTATTTTCTGCTCAGTTTTTTTCCCTTGTTTTCAAATCAGAAATCATAAATAAGGGTCTTGAGTTCATTTTTTGAAAAGAGTTAAAGAAGGTTTCCCCCATAGCATAAATCTGCATTACCTTCACCAGAACATTTCACCAGAGAACACTTGGAAAGTGGACATGGTGGAAATGACCTCATCACACCCTATGGAACATGAACCAAGTGACATGTGCTTTCATTTAATTAGAGTTTTTTCATATGGTCAGACTCACATGTCTGGGAATTCCTTCCAGGTCCATGCCTACAGCTCTGGCCAGCAATGACACTATGTATGGTTTCACTTTCTTAGGTATATCTCAGTACACTTTTCATCAGTTGTTATTTCTCAGGAAACACGGTACTATTTGAAAACTGTCAGGATTAATTATTTCTTGTTAACCACTACTTACTGTAACAATTTATATATTTTGAGTAAATATAATCTACAGTATAACTCAGCAAAATACACAAATACTAATTTATAAATAATTTAACTAGATTTTAACTATTATGAAAAACTCTTTATCTTATCTTCCTTAAATGTAATTTGGCTATGTTTTCAGTTTTGTCATCTTTTTTCCACTGTATTGGATCTTAGCTTTGAAATTTGTGCGAATCATTTTTCTCCCACTGCCAGTTTACTCACCTATGAAGTGCTTGTTATAATCAATGTGATTATCAGCTGGGATATAAAATTACCTTTTTAAATTCACTCTCCCAAATGCAGTAAAAAAAAAAAACCTGGATATCAGATTGTACCTGAGAATCTCTCTCTCTCTCTCTCACACACACACACACACACACACACACACTCACCAAGGCTTCCTAAATTACCTTTCACCCCCTTGGCTAAAACAACAGTTTTTCTGAAACTTTAGAGCCCTGTAATGTTTAAAGGAGTCTGGCATAGAAGCTGCTAACTCAGCAGGTTTCCTGTTGTTCAATGTTCCAACTTTATTCAGAACCCTTTCATTTCATGTCACTCTTATTTAGGACCTATCGATGTGAATTTGGGCACCCTTTCCATTTATGTTCACTAGTCACTTGGTTACAGCAATTTCATTTTAGAGATTCCTGCACCAAAAAAAAAGCCTTTTTAATAATTTATTTACCTGTAAAATGACAGATTTGCCCTCACTTATGGTCAAATTTAAAACTTTATTAAAACATACTTATCTTGATGACTATACTGAATAACATCCCAGAATCCACAAGGGTAGTTTTGCCCAAATTAATTACATTTGGAAGATGATTGAAAATGATACACATTATTCCAAAGGAAGGACATTCATTTTTTACAAATTGAAAAAGAAATAAAAAGATTCCATTTATCAATTTATGTTTTGGTTAGCTTTACTGGGATTTAGATTTGAAATAAAAAGTTAACATTTTACTTATTTAGATAAACAAATCTGTTATACTTAATGCTCATTTATATTAGTTTTTCTTCTATGCCATATGGATGTACCTGCTTTTCACATTTGTTCCCTCAAACACGTGCATTCACCCACAATCTCCCTAACTTTAATTTCTGTTGGTTCAGCACATTATACTTTCAGCTATTCACTGTATGTAAGACATTTCTAGGTCCCCAAATTTTCTCTTCTTATCTGTGTGTTTTATTGTCCAGAGGCTTTGCAGACAGATATGATTCTGCTCTAAAACTTGAATTACTAGCATTTCAAAAAAGTCTTCTTTTTCCTTCCAAAATCAAAGATACCTTGGGTTAAAAGAGTTTAAATAAAGGCAGTGGATGTAAATTACCACATGCGAAATGACATTGTTTAGCTAGACTGTAATGCTCAACTCATATTTAAGGTAAAAGTAATGTGTTTATTTCATGCATGCTGATTTTTTTGGACACATGGGGAATTTGTAAGATATTGTTTAAAATTTCTAAAATTCCTTTATGTCTTAACAAATGCAGATCTTTTAAATGTTTATTTTTAAATAATATTTTAAAACATTTTTAAATCTTTAGCCTCACCCTGTGATCCCACTTTCATCCTGGGCTGTGCTCCCTGCAATGTGATCTGCTCCGTTGTTTTCCAGAAACGATTTGATTATAAAGATGAGAATTTTCTCACCCTGATGAAAAGATTCAATGAAAACTTCAGGATTCTGACCTCCCCATGGATCCAGGTAAGGCCAAGATTTTATCTTCCTGGGAAACTATTTATGCTATGTTTTCTGGTAAGTCCAAAGTTCTATATGAAGGGCATGTTTGAACACCACAGTACTGCAGAAATTTATGAAGTGAACATCTGGGAAAGATAACCAAGTCTTTTATTTTACACACAGAAAATGAATGCCCAAATACTGGGGTGGCTTTCAAGCCCAATGGCTTCCTGACCAGTGGTTTATCCACTAAATCCCAAAGACTGTTTCAATAAAGTACTTTGGTGACCACCCAAAAGCATGTCCATATCACTCCATGGACATCTGGGCCCTTTCTGAAGGTTTTCATTACTCAATAGGCTTATCCTCCAATCAACGCTTACTGACCTCTTCCTCACATTACTTGGCAGAAATATTCTAATTTAGGGAAAGACTATCTCCATCAAGGAGGGAGAATATTTGTGACCATAGAAGGTGCCAGGAAACACTGAGTAGGGCAGGTGTGTTTGATGCTGTAGCTGAGATCCTGGCTGAGAGGCAGCTAGGTTAGGAATGACAAAAATGGTTGGTTTCATGGTGTATGAACCATAAACAAACATTCAAATTTTACCCTGTGCTGAGTTGGCATGCCCTACACTCTGCCTAAATAATGATTGTGTGATCTTAGAGAAATCACTTAACTGCTCAGGTGCACAGCTGGGTTTTAAGGTATCTCTGGGTTGCTTGCACTTCTAAAATACTGATTCCATTTTTGAAGCTACTTGACAGAAATAAAAACAGTGGGTTCTAGCTTTGTGCTCTCTATCAGGTTGCCCAAACCCCCTTAACCTCTAGCGTCATCAACTAAATATAAATCATAGTAATTCATGCCATCTTATATTTCAAGGTTGTAGGGACGACTTGGTTTAACAATGAGAAAATTGATATTAAAATGTTTTTATACAATAAAATGATGTATGAGCGAAGAAAATAATTATCATCTTTGATTTCCTGTTCAAAATTTTCTCCTTCCAATCTTTAGGTACAGAAAATTGCTACACGTGCACAATAAAAATTTCCCCATCAAAATGTACATAATATTTTATTCATATTTATAGCTATAATTTCAATCAAGGCTTGGTGTAAGACACATATGTCTTATGACATGTTTATATTTAATATTCTTTTCTCTTTTAGGTCTGCAATAATTTCCCTCTACTCATTGATTGTTTCCCAGGAACTCACAACAAATTGCTTAAAAATGTTGCTCTTACAAAAAGTTACATTAGGGAGAAAGTAAAAGAACACCAAGCAACACTGGATGTTAACAATCCTCGGGACTTTATCGATTGCTTCCTGATCAAAATGGAGCGGGTAAGATACTAGCAACAGATCAGTATTTTGATTTCTTGTCCATTTTGTGATTCATCGAATCCTTCTGTAATTTACTAAGGATGTTTAAATGATCAGGCCAGTAATGCTTGACAAACATCTTAATTACTTATTGTATTTATGGGCCTGCACTAAACGTCATGGAAAATACAAAATTGTCCAATAGCTAGAATGCATAGACTCTCTTCTTGAAATAAAAATAATCTACGTGAGTAGAGTAATATAGACACTGCAGTCAAATGGAAACAATTACAAATAAGTAGAAAATATAAAATATCCTACCATAAACTGAAGATGGATATCAATATTGCACACAGATTATGTGACAATGGAAAAGAATGGCTTATCATAAATGGGCTTCCTGCATGCCCTGCATATTGAAATAGTGCTTAAAATATTTGCAGTATGGAACAGAAGAAAGGTGTCAGTCGGACTGAATGATTTGTGGAGAGGTGTGTGGTGGGAAAGAGTTGGTGGATGGAAGAGAGAAGGTTTAATTTGGTGTAACCTAAAATGAATTTGCACAAAGGAGTTGGAGGTTGATGTTTATCAGGTAACCTGTGAGCATGAATCCTGTTTTCATTGCACTACTTACTGAAAAAGCATATTTTTTCCTATTGAATTGTCTTGACGACCTCATTATAAACCAGTTGAGTATAAATGTGAGGATTTGTTTGTGGGCTCTCAATTCTACTCCATTGATCTGTCTGTCCCTCTGACAGTAGTACCTCATTTTGAAGTCTTAATTAGTGTAACTTTGTATCAAATTTTCAAATAAAAAAGTGTGAGTCCTCAAAGCTTTTTTCAAGACTATTTGGGCTTTTTGGGGTTCATTCAGTCTCAACATAAATTTAAGAATAAACTTGTCAGTTTCTGCAAACAAGCCCATAGGGATTTTAACAGATTGCATTAAATCTATAGATTAATTCAAAAAATTATGACATTTTAAATATTGAGATGAAATTCATATACCATACATCACCCAATTTAAAGTGTACACTTTAATGGTATTAGTTTAATTACAATATTGTTCAACTGTGGTAAGAGGCGGGAAACTCCAGAAGTGGGACTTGGACACGTGACCAGATTGATGGCTAGCTAAAACAGGGCCAGGACAAAAGCAGCTTTCAGTCAGTCCCGCCCACTAGTGTGCTGTGTCAATTTACTATTCCCATGGCAACATCCAGGAGTTACCTCCCCTTTCCATGGCACCCAATGACCCAAAAGATAGGACCCCTTCCCTTCACAAACTGTCCATTAATATGCTTGCAATTAAAAGTGGGTATAAAAATGACTGCAAAACTGCCCTGAGTTCCTACTCTCTGCCTATACCACAGCCCTGCTCTGCAGTAGCCCTCACAGAGCTGTACCACTGCCTGTTCAACAAAGCTGTTTTCTTCTACCTCTGAGTTGCCCTTGAATTCTTTTCTGGGAAAAGCCAAGAACCATCCCAGACTAAGCTCCACATTGGGACTCGCCTGCCCTGCCCCATCTCTCTCTACTTTCAAAACTTTTTTATCACTCCACAGAAACATACTCTATCATTAAATAGTTACACCTCATTCCCCACTCCATCATGTAGTAAACATTAATCAACTATCTTTATGGATTTTCCTATAATGAATATAGCATTTAAAAGGACCCATGGCATATGTGACCTTTTACCTGGCTTCTTTCACTTAGCATAATGATATGGAGGGTCAACTAAGTTTTAGCATGTGATAGTACTTTGTTGTTTTTTGTGGTTGAATAATATTCCATTTTCATGTACTCATACAACAATTTGCTTGTCATTTATCTGTTGATGATCATTTGTGTTATATAAATGATCTTTTGGCTTTTATAAATAATCTTGCTGTTAACATTTGTACACAAGTTTCTTCATGAACATATTTTCAGTTTTCCAGGGTATAGTCCTAGGAGTGTTATTTCTGGGTCATATGGTGATTTTATGTTTAACTTTTTGAGAAACAACTAAACATTTCTACAGTAAATGCACCATTTTAAAGTCTCACTAGCAATGTTTGAGGGTTCCTTTTTTCCACATTATAGCTAATATTTGTAATTTTCTGTTTTTTGTGTCAGCTCAAACTGGTATTTCATTGTGGTTTTGACTTGACCAATGATATTAATCAGCTTTTTACCATTTTTACAAGATCTTTGGAGAAATGTTATTCAAGGCCCCTGCTCTTTCTTTTTTTTTTTTTTTTTTGAGATCGGGCCTCTCTGTGTTGCTCAGGTTGGAGTACAGTGCTGTCATCTTGGCTCACTGCAACCTCTGATTCTTGGGCTCAAGTGATACTCCTACCTCAGCCTCCCAAGTAGCTAGGAGCACAGGCACAAACCCCAACACCCAGCTAATTTTTGTATTTTTTTTGTATAAACATGGTTTCACCATGTTTCCCAGGCTGGTCTCAAACTCCTGAACTCAAGCAGTACACCCACCTCAGCCCTCCCAAAGCACTGGGATTGCAGGTGTGAGCCACCACTCCTGGCCCTTTGCTCATTTCTATATTGGGTTGCTTGTCAGTTGTTGTTCAACTGTAGGTAATTGTTTATGGATTCTGGGCATTAAACGCTTACTAAATATGTATGAAATACAAATATTTTCTCCCATTCTATAGGTTGTCATTTCACATTCTTAATTTTGTCCTTTGATGAACAAACATTTTAAATTTGGTGAAGCCCAGTTTGTCTCTCTTATTTTAGTTGCTTTGGTGTCAAATCTCTGCATCCACTTCCAATTCTGAAGGCATTAAGATTTAACCCGATGTTTTATTCTAAGAATTTTATAGTTTTAGTTCACATTTGAGTTTTTTGTTCACTTTCAGTTATATTTTGCATAAGAGTGAGATAGGGGTTCAACTTCATTCTTTTGTATGTGGTTACCCAGTTGTCCCAGCACTGTTTGTTGAAGAAACTCTTCCTTTATTTATTTATTTTTTAAACTCTTCCTTTAGATTGAATGATCTTGGCACATTTGTTGAAAATGAACTGGGCATAGATGATTAGGTTTACATTTGGATTTCAATTTTATTCCATTGGTCTTTATTTCTTTCCTTTTGCCAGTACCATGCTGTTTTGACTACTATAGTTTTGTTTTGAAGTTTGGAAATTTGGGAATTGAGTCCTCTCCCTGTAGTTGCATATAAATTCAGAATTGGCTTTTCCTTTTTTGCACAAATAAAAAATTTTAAAAAGGACATTGGAATTGTGACAGTGATTACATTCAATCTTTAGATTACTTTTGGAAGCATTGCCATCTTAACAATTTTAAGTCTTTCAATCCTTTAACGTGACATGGTTTGCCATTTATTTAGGTTTAATTTAAAAAACCATAGATCATAACAACTCGGTCAT